CCCCCTGTGTGTACTACACGAACCTGCCTCTGCCTCCATGATCTGCCTCCTCGCCTCTTCCGCCCACTCATTCCATTCTGAGCGGAGCAAACAACAAAACACAACACAACACAACCAGCGCCATCCATCGATGGTGGGCCGCTGGGCAACAGCGGCTGTACACACCTGTCTATCTGCCTACCCTGGACAGATTCTGGGCGCACGTGTGTCTGCAGGTAGTCGAGGAAGGCCTCATCGTCATCCAGGAGGCGACCGAGAGCAGTCCAGAGATACTAGTGGCCAGACAGACAGACAGCCAGACAGACCACATATAGAAGTAGAGTGTGTGTGAGGCCGCTTGCTTACTTTGTGGCGTAGCAGGTGTTTATGATGCACAGCCTTGTTCACTTCGCTCAGACTCGTCTGGTTCAGTTTTCTCAGGACAGCCCTCTCCTCCTTCCACCCAAGTCTTCCAAGAAACAAACGATGCGTCACGGTTCCCTCCACGACTATCGCAGCGTTGCCCATCGCATAGCGAAATCCGGTTTGAAACGCGGCGAGGGAGTGAGCGCAGACCGAACGGCGGCGGAGCGGGCAGGGGAAGGGACAACAGACGAGCCTTCATCTCATCAGAGATCTTGAGCGCTTCCCTCGCCCTTTCTAAGCTCGCAGGATGAGTCAGTAAATCTGCTGCTTCCCTTCACTTTTCAAATGCGTTCACACATAGCGATGCATGCCATGCGTGTGCATATCATTCTACTGCAGACACACTCAGCCCGACACGCACTGCACTGAAAAAGCTGTAAGACACATACGCTCTTTCCCCCCTCTCGCTGCCTGAGGCAATCTCGGCACGCCAGACAGGCCGCCACAGACGGAGAAATGTTGTGGCCTCGGCGTGTCTGGTAGGCAGCGGTTGGCTTGCCGCAGACAGCGAGAGGGAGGGGTGGGACACACACACACACACAGACACCAACACATATGTAACACACATGAATCGATGTGTGCATAACACGTCCATTTCACATCGACTCGACGGGGGCACAGCACACGAGAAAAAAGTCAACCGATCACGTCCGTCCACCTACCCACCACACACACACAAAAGACACACCACACACCGTCTGGCAGGCTCACTCTTAAAATGATACCCCACACTGGCTGGCTCACACACAGGCTGGCAGATAGAGAGAGAACGAAAAGCCCTCATGCTTGAATGAATCGCTCAAGCACTCCCACACACATAGAGGCAGCCAGCCAGCCAGGCCAGTCAGAGTATGAGGCCAGACGACATTGCTCGTCAGCCAGGACCTGACACACACACATACATACACAGACAGACAGACAGACAGACAAACACGTATGCCATTCACTCACGAGGTCGGCAGGGTGGAGACAGTGTGTTTCTGCTCTCTTGTGAGAGTGGGACCTGTGTGTGTGGAGAGGGGGCGGGTGTGGTCAGCGTGCGGAGGGCACCTTCAGCCACCCCTTCTTGCTCTTGCTGTTGGTGTAGAGGTCGCTGACCCACTGTTTGAGCGTGTCGACAGGGCCTGTCTGCTGGTCGTCGCCGCTAAAGTACTCGGCTACGATGTCACACACCCTCATGGCCTTCATCTTGGCCAGATTGTGACCCGCGAACCGTTTCTGCTCACACACACACACACACACAGAGACGTGGATGGAGAAACAGTGCCGTTCGTTCTTCCCTCCCTGCTCCGCTGACTGACTGACCTTCTGCACAATGTCGAGAACGATCTGTGTCCGGAAGTCGTTGTGCTGCCCCAGGGCGGCCACCAAATCCTCGTGCGACGCCATGTGCAGCACCTTCATGACATACTCGCCACCATCGCCCCCTCTCTCGCCCTCCCCATCACTGTCGTCCACCACAATGGCGTCGTCCTGCTGCTGGCCACCGGCTGCACCCGACGGCACACCTCCTGCCGGCGGCTCTGTCTTGACTCGCGAACCCCCCTCCCTCGCACCTGCACTTGCAGCAGCCGCAGCAGCAGTAGCAGGGTGGCCACCAGCCCCAGTCCCAGCCGATGAGCGCGCCTCCCTGGCCTCCTTCTTTTCCTCCTTCTTGACGGGCGGGTCGGGACGATTATTGTTGTCGGTGTTGCTGTTGTTGGCGTGGCTGCCTCCACGGCTATGCCGGTTCTGGTTGCGTGGGGCAGCGTTGGGCTCCCTCTTGACGACAGCACGGCGGGCTGGGCGGGGCTGGACGGGGGGAGCGGCGGCAGCGACAGCAGCGGGGTTGTCGTTGTGCCCAGAGTCATCTTCATCTAGGTCCTGCGGCTGCCATGGCGGTGGGTGCTCGTCTCCATGCCCGTGAGCCCCCACGACGCCATCGTCGACAACGGAGATGTCCATCGGCTCATTCTGCTCCTGCTGATGATTATTCTGCTGGTGCTGGTGCTGATGCCGGTGCTGGTCGTCTTGCTCCATTGGCTGAGGCCCTTGCTGGGCCGTCTCATCCACCAGAGGTGGCTCCAGCGACTGCTCGTGAGGTGGTTGCTGGGGTGACGGGGACATCACCTGTTGAGGGGCGGCCACGTCAGCCATCGTCTCGTCGCGAGACACTGGGGGTGTCGGTGTGGGGGTGGGAGGGCGGGCAGAACGGGGTGGAATGACTGGGGGCGGAAGATGCGACGCACCCATGGTGAGAGGATGGCCCGCTGGGAAGACGTGGCGACCTGAGAGAGCGGCAGACAACGAACAACATCACACACACAATCACTTCCACCGACTGCCTTTGTCCATTCAGCTACCTGAGTGCATGTGCTGCATGTGATGCTGTCCGAAGGGACGGCCGCCCAGAGGCACGGGGCGAGCGCCAGGTGGACTGACGGCGAATGGTGCCGCCCTCCGACCAGCTAGGAAGACTGCCGCAGCAGCGGCAGGAGAGGCCGGGACTTGCACTGGCATGGGCGGCTTTGGGGGCCGATTCGGTATGCCGGTGGATGGACGAGCGCCCATGGCCACGTGTGCACCTGTTCAGAAGGAAACGAACGGCGAGAGGAGATATCCATGAGTGGGTGGGGGGCGCCTGTCTGTGTCCGTCTGAGGGCCTACCATAGAGGGGCGGTCGGTACGGGGGGCGGGGATGGCGTAATGGTGGCAGCAGAAACGGCAACGGGGGCACGACAGCAGCCGGGGGTGTCTGTGCAGGCAACTTAGGCTGTCCTTGTCCCTGCTTCTTGCCGTCACCACTCACCTGCTGCTGCTGCTCGTGGTGATGGTTCTCGCAGCCCTGCGGCAGACCCTCCTCATCATTGCCCTCACCGAACTTGGGCTTCGTGTCCACTGCAACCAAGCGATAAAGGAACACAGAAACAAACATTGCTTGGTCCGTGTTCGTGTGTACTCGATGGTTCGTTACATACCTTGGCCATGCTCACGATCCGTCCGGTGCGCCTGCCTGGTAGCAACTGCACGACACCGTCAAGGAAGCAAAACACTTTTCACTGCTCTTCTCTTCGTTATGGTCGCTGGCCCGCCCACCTACCGTTCCTCTGCTTGACCCGCCCGATGATGCGCTTGCCCCCCTCCAGCCGAAACTTGAAGCGCTCCGGGTCGGGACGGCTGTTGTCCGAAGCATCCGTGACCTTGTCCTTGAGCGCCTGGGAGAAGTCCCACCCCTCCCTGCCATTCCGGCCTTTCTTCTTCTTGGGCCTTGCCGTGCCCTGCACGTAATAGTCGCTATCCTGCGCATCCTTGAAGGGGCCGATGGTGACCGTCATGGCGTCAGCGTGCCAGAGGTGTGAAGGGTTGGGGGTGAAGGTGGCTGTGACGTTCTCGGGCAGACGATGGAAGACGCTGCGGGGGTCGGCCCGTTTGAGCATCAAGTGTCGCTCGCAGGAGGCAGCGGGGCTCTCGGGGAGGTCGGGTGAGGCTGCTGCTGCTGCTGCAGGGAAGAGGTCACCCTGTGGCAGACCTGACACCACACACACACACACACACACATCAACATGATTGAGTATGGATACGGATTGTCCGTGTTTGTGTGGGCCCATGGTGCGTACGTACCTTCCGGGACGAATTCCTTGTCCTTGTCATCATCGTCATCCATCTTTGCGCCCCTCTCCTTATCCGAATCCGACGCTGATGCAATGCAACCACACAGAAATGGATAGCACGCGGCGTCCAGTGTGCCCATGGATTTGTGTGTCTTTCTGGCCTACTTGATAGATTCGGTGACGACAGGGACGATGCCGCGGCCGCCACTGCTGCTGCAGCCCCACTCGCCGATGCCCGTGGGCCAGCCGGGGGCCCATTGCCACAGACACCAGCGGCCGCCCCCATGGGCACCACTCGTGCGCGTTTTGCCGACGCACCGGCCCCGTCGCCATCGTCTGCGTCACGCCGGCGGATGGTGCCGCCACGTCCGGCACCGGTGCGTTGGGGAGGCTGGAGCAGACCCCGCTCCCTGAGGATCCTGGTCATGTGTTGCCACCTCCACGACGCGGGCGGCTGCCTCCTCACCGCAAGGCTGATGCCGACGGCTGGGATCACCACGTCGACCTCCATCAGCCAATCAGTGCTCCCTTGATTCTGCTCGAACTGGATGCCCTCGGCCAGCTGCCGGCTGATGAGGGAGCCGTACTTGGCCATGAAGGACGCGCGACAGTCGGCTTCGACGGCGTTGAGCTGCCCAGCCCCACTCGTGTCATGCTCGAGATCGAGATCGAGATCGTCTAGATGTGGTGGTGTGGCGAGTGGTGGTGCATTCGTGTTGACAGGTGGGGAGGGGCTGGGAGAGGGGGTGGGTGTGGGAGTGACTGTTGCTGGGGTGCCGTGCTGTTGGGGTGGGGGGGGAGTACTGGCAGCCATGCTCTCTTGGCGCTGTCCTGACGGCGGGGGAGGGATGACGTGGGAAGGGCCAGCGCCTTCTCCTGCCGGCTTGTCAGCACCCATGTCACCTGGGCGCACAGACAGGGACAAACGACACGCGTCATGACACCCATTAATACGCATGTGTTTCCTCCCCATTTGCATGCGTACCACTATCATCGATGCACAGCCTCGGCGCATCGCCGCTCTCGTCGCCCCTGCCCCACGTCATGCGGATCTGCCGCAGCCCCAGCCTCCCCAAGAGAGCGCTGCATGCACTCCCAAACCGGCCCACCACCGCAGCCCATCCACCGTCACCACCATCCAGGCCACTGAGGTCCACCTCCTGCCGGCCATCCGTCACCATGTCGATGAAATAGAAGCTGTCGCCGTCCTCCTCCCTCTCACGGCGCAGCTCAGTTGCCGCATCCGGGCTCCGCCCTCCGGGCTGCTTTTGTAGGCGGCGAACTCATCGCACACACGCTGGGCCATGCCGATGAGAGAATCGGGGGCTGACATGATGCGCAGATCTGGGCGTCTTCTCGCCGGATCTCGTCACAAGAACCCCAGCTACAGACAGGCGACTTCTCTGACGCAGCCAACAGATGAAGCTCATGCAGTGGCAGATCTGTCCATTGCGCTCCTCGTTTGCCCTCAGGGAAGCCAAAAGGGGGACGGATCTACAAACGGTTGGCGAGGTTAGCTCGCAGGCGCAGCGGAGACCCTTTTCTCGCTTGTGGGTTGGTAGTTTGATAGACCTGTCTGTCTTGTTTGTGGAAATGAAGCTGCTGGGCGCGTTGCTGCTGGTGCTGGTGGCCGTGAGCCACCTGTTCGCCGTGTGCGAGTCGCTGCGGCTGCGCCGGATCCGCATCAAGGTCAAGCTCAACAAGGACAAGATGGAGAAGCGACTCAAAGAGCTCGGGGTAAGCGAGCCCAAGACGGCACAGCACACAGAGAGGGAGAGACGCTTCAACCTGCCTGCATGTGGTTGGTTGTGTGGCGCATGTGATGTGATGTGGTCCCTCTCCGTGTGCGCGCGTGTGTGTGCGCGTGTGTGTGTGTGTGTGGTTCAGAAAGCGTTGTGCATCCAGAGCTGCGTCAAGACGCTTGGCAAGGAGCGTGAGCCGTGGTGCAGGTTCGTGTGCAACTTCGTCGAGGACGTCGACATCACCGAGGAGGAGTGCGAAGACGACACCAAGGGAAAGAAGAAGTAGCTATAGGTAGAACCAGACAGACATGCAGCAGCCATGCACCAACCAGGCAGGCAGGCAGGATGCAGTGCAGTGCAGTGGGTGCAGCTGTGGGTGGTGCATGGGTGACGAGAGGGATGGGGTTGATGGGGTGAGATCGACCATCTGCCTGCGTTCGTGCGTGCGTCAATTGCCTAGTCGGAGGGCGGGCGGGAGGGAGGGAGGGAGGGAGGGAGGGAGGGGTGGCTAGACTGACTCGGGGAGAGAGAGATCGGCGCTTGAGAATGCGATTCAAAGGTATGTTTTACCTGCTTTGCCTTTCATTCCATCCATCCATCCATCCATCCATCCACCCGTTTGATGTTTGTCGCTGCGTACGGTTGAACGATATCTCACGAGGCTGTTTTGTCGGCCTGTAACATACATATGTATTGCTCTCTCCCTCTCTCTCTGTCTGTCTGTCTGTCTGAGTGACGGCTTGTATTGCGCTCACCCGGTTTGATTTCGCCGCTCTTGGATCATCGATGGACTGGCTGGCTGGATGCACTGCCTGTCCGTGTCTGTGTCTGTGAGTGGATGGTGGTGCTGGTGTGTAGCTGATGGATGGATGGGTAGGTAGTAGAGAGCGTGTGCACTAGATTGAGAAGCGAAGCGACACCGAGATCTGTGGATGGGTCGATGCTTTGAACGCACCTGGCTGAGTCAGGCTCACGTGTAGTAAGGGGACTGAAATCCTCTCGACCATGCGCACTTAAGAATTATGCACGCACACACAAATGGTTACGGACACAGGCAGAAATACACAAGGGTCATGTTCCGTGTGTTCTACACGCACACACACACACACACACACACACAACACATCTGTCTGCGTATCCCCTACCCACTGCTGCCTACCAGCCTACAGACCTCTCCCACACTTTCACATACAAATGCGGCCGCGTTTTCCGTCTCTCTCGCCCCAACTACTACACACACACTCGCACAGCCCCTCCCCCTCCCCCATCCACACAAATCAGTCAGGCCACTTGGGTCGGCGTCTCTTGTTTCTTCTCGGTGGCCATCTGCCACAGCAGAGAGCACTCCCTCACGATGGCGTCAGGGCGGGAAATATACAGAAAGTGCGTCTCGTCGTCGATGGCTATGAGCTTGCAGTTGGGCAGCTTCTTTGCCAGCCACTTGTGCATCTTGATGGGCTGCACAGTGTCGTTGGTGCCGTAGATGATGGTCACCGGCCGCCGCACACAGCGCACCTTGAAGGGAAACCTCCCTCTCAGGTACTTGAGGCCCGCCATGGCGAAGGCCCTTCTCTGCTTGAACGAGTAGCAGATGTCGTCAACGAACAGGGCCTTGAGAGCCGGGTCGCCTCTCACTTTGACAAGGGCCGGCGTCTCCTCTTTGGCGTCGCCGCCCCTCCCGCCCTTTGGGGCGCCGCCCAGCAGCTCCTCGACGTTGCCCTCGCGCACCTGGTCGGCGTTGCGGCTGAATGTGTCGGCCGCTTTGCTAAGGAACCGGTCGAACTGCAGCAGGATGGTGGGCAGCAGGCCAAAGCCGCGGACAGACCGGATGGGCGTCGACGGGGCGGCCAGCACGGCACCGATGGTGCGGTCGGGGTAGAGGGCCGCCAGGGTGAGCGCCGGACTGCCGCCAGCCGAGAGGCCGAGTGCGACGAACGTATCGATGTTGAGCGAGTCGAGGAGGGCTATGGTGTCCTTGGCGAGCTCATCGAGGGTGAAGTCGGGCGACGGCGAGGAATCACCCGCACCAGGCATGTCCACCGAGATGATGCGAAGCGGCGGGTCGGCCTGCACCGTTGCGGGCATGCCGTCCATGACACACAGACAAACGAGGAAGAAACATCCATCGATTGCATCTGGTATGTTCTTTCTGTCTTTGTGTGTTACGTTTCTGGCCTCTTGGTCGAGGAATTCCGCCCATATGTGGGAGGTGAGGAGGCCATGAAAAGCCACCACTGGTTGGCCCGCAGGGCTGCCGTACTCGGCGTAGCCTAAACACGCACAACCAAACAAAGCATTTCGCATGAGCATCGGCATCGCTTCTCATCTTTGCATTGCTTTGCAGATCTGCCCTACCGATGTTCCTCCCATCTGAGCACTGGAACAGCTTCACATTTGACTTGACTGGCGGAAGGGCTGCCGCACCGCTGGCGAGTTGATAGGATCTTGCGAGTGGGACCAGAGAGGCCGCGATAGACAAAGCAACGAAGAGCATCCTCAAATGATGTCCAAGCTCGCAAAATAAGAAAAGGCTCGCGCAGAAAAAAATCTCGTCGCCGGAGACAGGAGACGAGAAAGACCTTTTTGAACACGATTGCCAAGCATTTCGGGCATTCCATCACTTTTCTCTCTTCCTCCCGCCACATCTGCTCCGTATCCTTGTCTTTTCAGCTGGTCTTTGTCGTATGTGGCCTGCCCCATCCCATCCCAACGCCCTGCTCTTGCGCGATGTCGGCCGCCACTTTTTTCATCCACCTCATCAGCGCCGTGGCTTCTGTTGAGCGCCTGACGCCTGCCTGGTGTCGGAGGATCGCGATGGCACCTTCCCATCTTGTCGAGAGAAAACCTGAGGCTCCAGCAGGTCAGTACAAGTGTGTGGTGGTGCGGTGTGATAATGCGTGTGTCTGCTGCATGTGCGGGTGCTGTAGGATGGCCTTCCTGTGCCCAGTGGCAAAGACGAGGACGAGAATATGCTGTCCAGCAGCGACGAAGAAGCTGAAGCCATTTTGGTGGGGAGTGTGGCCTTGTGCGTTGTGTCTCTTGGCTGTAGTGATGGTGCGATGTATGGATGGCATATCACGATGAATGTGTGACCCGTTTCGTTGTCGTACACGTGCTTGTGGCTCTCGTTGTCTGCAGGCGGAATGGTGATCTATTTTCTGAAGGCCGTCTCTATTTCTGACGACTTTCTCAAGGTCAGTGACTCGAATGTGAGTGTCGAGGCTCAGGTTCCTGCTCTGCCATTCCTTGTTCGCTCCTCTGAGAAGCAGAATGACTCCAAAAAAAAAGAGAACAAACTGATGTTTTCTGCTGTGCCTCTTAGCCTGCAAAGGAGGTCGCTGTCAAGGAGGAGGAAGGACCCCGTCGGCCGACCCACGAACGACCGAAGTGGCGGCGGGCAAGGGACGGCAGCCTCGTGCCACATGTGAGATTGTGGCTCCGCACCGCAGGCAGCCGCGTCGCCGCAAGTGGTGGGAGATGATGGAGGAGGAGGGCGAGGACCAGATGTGCAGCCACGGCCCCATCAGCGGGGGCATGTAGAGAGGAGGGGAGGGGAGGGGAGGGCTTGAATCAGGGGAGAGAGAGGGCCATTGGTAGTGAATGGGTGACGGGCTGGCCTGCCTGTATGTGCGGGGGGTG